CCTAGCAATCTCTAAACGCAGGTACACCTGCCCAACCTTACTAAACTGGCCTTCACCGATATATTCGAACTGACCTTGGCGGCTGCTGCTTCTTGAAGGCCATGATTACCGTCACTGGAAGCTTGACTTGAGAGATGGAAGCCATGCTAATTCGGCAAGCACACCTTAGAACACTCACCTGATAGACACGCTTTGCTCTTGCTGTTCAAGATACGGAGGGGTGCCGTAGTGGTTTGTATCTTCTTTTACCAAAATGCCAAGGAATATGTAAGAGTAAGAGTTTAACTCTACTTCCGTTGGATGATGACAAATGTCTAGATCTAATTACTATACTGAACATACTAGATGAAGAGCCTTCATAGCTCCCAGCGAAAAATACTCAGCACGCTATAATTTAGACTTGACAACCTCATCGTGCTTCCAACCAGGCATGTCCGATAGGTCCTTTGCCGGCGCTGCTCTTCTCGACTTCAGCGCATCGCCAGTACCAGGCCGCCATCTCCACGCATGTGCTAGATCATTTGCTAGCGTACCCTCGAGCAGCTCCACAACGTGCTTGCCGATATTTGGCAATAGTTTGAAAGTATGACTAGGCAGAGTCAGTCAGTACTTATTCTCAAAGCACCAAGATTTGAGATACATACCCGCTATCTCCAGTAGCAAGCACAAAGTTTTTCCACTCGGGATGCTCACACATCAACAACGCCGCATCGGCCGTATCCGTGCACCAGCACAGATGTCTGTTAAATAACTCCTTCTCAGTGAACTTGGGCAGGAATGTCGCAATAGCATTGCGGATGCTCACTTCAGAAGCATCGGGGTAGGTGTCAGTCGGGTGCTTTGCTGCCGATCTGGGCACAGAGATACATTTTGGTACTTTGGCGCCATATGGCTGATGCTGCTTGAATCGCGTGAAGCCTGGAAACTCATCACAAACTTTGATGACACCATGCTCATCGGGCTCGAAGAAGAAGCCGACATCACCGTTGTATACTACAGGTGCGTTTTTGTACTCTGCTGCTTCTTCGGGTGTGAGTTGTATGTGGGCGTATACCCAAGCCTAATAACGTCAGATCTAGATATGGAGCAGTACTTTGGGATAGACCTACTTTTGAAACGCACTGTTCTGCTAGATCAACTAATACAGGACTCCAGGCACCAGCTGCAAGTACAACCTTGTCAGCGTAGTACCTCGTCCCATCTACTGTTTCGACGCCAATGCACACTCCCTCAGCTAGAAGAGGTTGCTTAAATGACCCAGCACCACCAAATCCAAATTTGACTCCACTGTCGCGTAGATATTCACCTATCGCGTTGATGGCTTTTGCTGCAGCGAGCCAGCCGCCATCTTGGCTGTAGACTGCTTTCCAGCCCTTGATCTGCTCGCGATCTAGAAGCGGCATTTTCTTGAGAATTTCGTCTTCAGAGTCAAGCCATTCCGTTGTTTTCTCGAGTCCAGCGTTGGCATCGAGAAGAGCTTGGTATGCTTGTTTCAAATCTGCAAGTCCTGTCTCGCCATGAGCGCAATCCAACTATGCTTCTGTCAGTCTATAGCTGCAAATATACCATCCTGCCTGTTGTACGTACCCGCCCGGTATTATGAAAATACTCTTTGAATAGCTCATCTTCTCTCCACATTTGCCGAGCTTCAAGACTTAACTGGAGATCGACCTTGTTCCGCAAGCGAATTCCCATGATCTTGTTCAGATCATTTCCGGCCGACTGCGATGACGGAATAGGATATGTGTCAAGGACGGTGATATTTGACGGTGTATAGCCAGAGCGCACAAGATGAAGAGCTGTCGAGGAGCCAATAGTGCCACCACCACCGACAACGATAACAGAAGCGTTCACTCTTGAAGGTGCCATATCGAATTAACACTTGGCTATGGTCGTAATCCTGGGAAGCTGAAAGTCTTTCTGGACGGAGGCGCAAGTCGTGATCAGAGGCAATCCACAATGGGTCACGCCCCAAACGCCCGCCGGTTAAGTATCAATGAAGTCTGCACACGCCACCAGCTCGATGATACGATGTTGAGGCATATTCCCCGCTCAATTGCGAGCTCAAACAAGTTTCAATTAAGTAATCGAGGTTTCCTACTCCATGTACCGTCGGTTGGAGGCGACACTCGGCAATGGAGATGGCGCTTGGCTCTCGCTTGATGATCCCCGACTGTTATTATGTCCCAATAAGGCTAGATCGTTAGATGTCAGCACATGGTCATTCAATGAGGGGCCATCCCGTGTCTCCAAAGATGGAGCACTCAATGTGCTATTGCTTTATTTCCACATAGCGCCCTGATAACATAATTCTGGGTCTACACTGGATCCGATCTGATATCAACAATGCTAATGTCCTATCGAGGTACCAAGTCACCCGCGGAGCGATGTAACGACTGACTCGCGCCTTGCTTTACAACCGCAAAGGCCCGACAACAAGCCTCACAAGGCCTGTCTGCCATGTCTAGCGTCTCTTTACCATGCCTTGTCGGCCTTAGCTCTTGCCTCCACTTTTCCCGACTGTTCGCACTACCATATTAAGCCTAGTCTGATTGATCTTCCAGACGTTCGTTCCTCTCGGCATTCCGCTTGTCACCGAAACCATGGACTCCGCAGTTCCTATCAGCTGGATAGAACGACTGGCTTTACCCCAACCCGGGGTAATTTAGCCCCAGGATCCACAGATAAGCCGGGATGTCAGATAGTATGATAGACGAGCATGGCAGACGTTGCGGGATGATGATCGTATATATAAAGGGTTGCGTGAGAGGCTTCTTTGGGACCATCTCAGTTCAGAGGTTGATCTCACAGTATTCCTCTGGCTGCAATACTCTTTGGTGATCTTTGCTGGAATCGCCCAAGATGTCCAAGTTTGACGCTGCTCCTCCCAACACCCACGCTGGTGGCGACGACGATGCCCTTCGTACCAAGGGCAACGACCCATGGAATGCTCCGCTACCCTCGCATCAAGTCGCGGATGAGAGGGTTAACCAAGAAGAATATGCGCGGACTGTGCCACTATGGAAAAGAGTTTGGCAAAACAGCTTGACGCAGATGCTTCTGTTGAGTGTTCAGGCCTTTTGTGGTCCCGCCATGGCTGATGCTATTGCCGGTTAGCTTATTTGGTCCATGTACAATTTAGCTTTATGGCTAACATGATTCCAGGTCTTGGTGGAGGTGGTCTTGCTACTCCTCAAACCTCAAACATTGCAACCGCCGTCAACTACACTATGCTTGCACTCTGTTGTGCCTTGGGAGGTCCAATCGTGAACAAGCTGGGCACAAAATGGGCTCTCGTTATCGGCGCTTGCTCATTTCCTATCCGAGGCTCTTCATACTACTGCAACTCAAAATTTGGTAACCAATGGTACCTTATCCTAGGCGGCTTCTTCACTGGCATAGGAACAGGAACATGGTACGTGGCTGAATCTGGTACGATCATGTCGCTCGCTCCATCAGGATCCCGCGGCAAGTACCTGGCTCTTTGGATTGTTGCCCGTAATCTGGGACAACTGGTGGGTGGAGCGATCAAGTAAGATATCGCCGTTTCAATCCTCAAAAACCAAAACTAATGTTGGTACTTGTAGTCTGTCAAAGAATCACGAAAAGGGTGTCGTTGGAGGTGTGACACCGGATACCTACATCGCCTTCCTTATCATCGAGTGCATGGCACTGCCGTTCGCCTTCCTTATTTCGCCACTTGAGAGAGTAGTCCGCTCAGACGGAACGCGGATTCTCGTTTCTGAGAAGATAGGCACCAAGATGGAGATCAAGCAGATCAAGGTCACGATGACTTCAAAACTCATCTTGTTGTCAGCGTTCTGGGCTATCTGGTCATTTTTCTACGGGTTAGTTGCGAAGTTTCTCTTGTAAGGCTACAATTTTGCTAACGAATAGTCAGTGGCACCTGGTCGACCTATCTTGCAACCTACTTTAGCGTCCGTGCGCGTGCTCTCTCTTCTCTGATATCGCCATTTTTCTGCATCGTCGGATGCTTCGGTCTGGGTTTCATTCTTGACATGAAGGGCGTGAACCAGCGTCGTCGTGCTCAAATCGGTCTTCTGACTGTCGTCCTCCTGAACCTCGGTGTTTATATCTGGTCAATCGTTATTCAAGCGGGATTCAATAGTCACAACCCTGGCAAGATTGACTGGGACGAGTCGAGATATGCGCGGACTTTCCTGCCATACTTTTTCGTTCAGACCACAGGCCCGTTGTCGCAGTCTTACATGTACTGGCTGCTCTCTTCTTTTGCGACTGATGCTCAGGGTTTGCTATCCCCATTTCATGCACGTTTTAGAATATTCTAAACTGACCTTGTATAGCGAACGTTCGCAATGGTGCTGCATTCCGCGCCCTCGAAGCCGTCGGCCAGGCTATTTCATATGGCATGAATACTCAGATCAAAACATCACCAATGATTGGTTTCTGCGTCACGTTTGGCCTAATGGCGTTGGCGTTTGGTCCGATGCTCGTCTTGGTCAACCAAACACCAGACCGTATCCCTGCTGATGTTATAGCCGAGGAGATGGAACAGGAGGAAAAGAAGGTCGGCGGTTATACAATTGAGACCAAGGCTTAAGAGTTTACAGACAAACTAAAATCCTGATGTTCAGAGGAAATGCTTCCAGATTATTTTCAATTGAATGAGATCTATAGTATTTAGCTGCCTTGCAACGCTCTATGAATATAAAAAATAATGTCTAAGTATTTCTTTTCGTTATTTAAACAAGACAGCATCCCACTGAATTTACTCAAAGTAGAAAGCATATAACACTAAATACCAGACACGAGTACGCCCGTTGATAATCGCTATTACCCCACGTGGTACGGTAAGTGGACCATGCATGTGCCCCGCCGAGGGGTAACAAGGGTAGCTAGCTGTAGGTGAACAAGAAACATTGGACACTCGTACGTAACGAAAGCTCTCACCTCATCTTCAATCCCAAACTCCAATCCTTCCTTTGCCCCCTCTCAACCTCCCGGCAGCGCTCGACAAAATGGCAGACCTCAACCTCAACGAAATCCACGACTTCATGATCACCATTGCCAAAGAAGCAGGAGAACGCATCGTCGCCGCCAAACCAACAACATCCGAGTCGGGTTCAAAGAAGAATTGTACGCAGCACCTTTCCTCTCTTTCTCCAATCCTCACCCCAGAACCAACCTTTCTTCGTCCCCAAACCCCTCCATTCCAAACCACACCTATACTAACTCAACTCTAGCCGTCGACCTCGTAACCGAAACCGACCGCGCAGTCGAATCCCTCATCTCGTCCTCCCTCCGCACCACCTACCCAGCCTTCTCCTTCATGGGCGAAGAAACCTACAAGCCCGGTGACGTCCTAACTGCCAACCCCACCTTCATCTGCGACCCCATCGACGGCACCACGAACTTCGTGCATCGCTACCCTTACGTCTGCATCTCGTTGGGGCTTGCTGTGAACCGTGAGCCCGTCGTCGGCGTTGTATATAATCCTTTTACGCAAACGCTTTATTCGGCGATAAAGGGGCAGGGCGCGTATTTGAATCGCACGACGAAACTGCCGTTGGGAGGTGAGCCATCAAGGCTGGAGGGATTGGATAAGTGTCTTGTGGCTGTGGAGTGGGGGAGTGATCGGAGTGGGAATGATTTCAAGGTGAAGAGTGAGACGTTTAAGCGGTTGGCGGCGACCAAGGAGGCGGGGGGTGGGATGGTGCATGGGTTGCGGTCGTTTGGGTCTGCGGCGCTGAATCTGTGTGGTGTGGCTAGTGGGGGGCTTGATGTGTACTGGGAGGCTGGGTGCTGGGCGTGGGATGTTTGTGCTGGATGGGTTATTTTGAAAGAGGCTGGGGGCATTATGGTGGATGCTAATCCGGGGAATTGGGAGCCGAAGGTTGAGGGGCAGAGGTATTTGGCCGTTAGAGGCGGCGAGGGACAAAGGGAGATTGTGGAGCAGTTTTGGAGTTTGGTTGATGGGGCGTTTGAGGTTGGATTGTAGGGTGGAGCTGTTGGTATGATAATAGATATAGATCAGGTCGACATTAGAAAAAGATACACGATATCACACGCAGATGAATGCAAAAAATAACACAACGATATAGAGGCGGCCTGGGGTTTCTCATTATTGCCACCGCTAAGACTATTCCTTCCACAATCTGCATCCTATTCAAGCGGTCTCAATCAATTTGCGCACACCACATCGGACGAAGGACCTTCTCTCTCCACCAGGTGGGAAAGGAAAAGCCCAAGTTCTCCAGCGCGATGCAACACAAACCAACCATCGCAGATGTATATAAATTAAAACCAAGCATTCCGAAGATATTTGGAAGAAAAGATTTCCCCCCGCGGGTGTAAATAAACGACGATGAACAACGGTTCCATCCATCCCCCTTTTCGTCAAACAAAGGAAACACAGTTTCGTCAGTTGTACTCCTCTCTATGGAGAAGAGAGGGGGAGAAAAAGGGAGAGCGAACAAAACAAGAAATTGGCCATGATGTCGTTAAAAAACTGGTGGGAGGGAAAAAAAATCTTGAAGGGGTTGCTTTTTTTTGGTCAAATCTTCGGGGAGAGGAGATGAGAGGGAGCAAAAGTACCACACTGCTAAGGACGTAAAAAAAGTAGCAGAACGAGGTGCGAGGAGGAGGGAGATGCAAACAACAACTAGTGCGCCGATTCGAAAAGCAGGGAAAAGAGAAAAAGGGAATCAACCCCTCTTATTACTCCGATTCCATGTTTTTTTGGTAGTTTTCACGGTTTTTGGGTCGCTTGTCGGCAATTTGGGGTTGACGCGGAGATCAAGGCTTAGGCTCAACTTGGGTGTGATACTCCGGGTTATGTGTGTGCAAGGGTGGTTGTGTGGTATTTTGTCGGGGCGTTTTGTATACAATGACGAGTGATAGGACTAGTGTGCAACCGAGTCTTCAGATGGTCCTGGGAGTGCCGCGAGCGGAGGCGCTGTGGCAAGTGTCAGTGGCAAAGGTTTTACATCACGGCGAAGTATATATCAAATGAAGAAGACGTTCAAGACAGAGAGGAAAAGCGCAAGGCATACCTCGCATCCACAAGATCATCGACGTGATTGCACATAGCCACAAACAAGTCAAAGAACAACTTTCCTCCCATCTCCATCTCCATCTGCATGGTTCCACTACGCTTGAAGGTTTTCCGACTGCGGATAATCAGAGCGAGGTAATGAGCGCGCAGCCGTGAGTCGCTGTCCGGCGTGTTCTCGTAGGCATAGCGCGCACTACGCAGGATTATTCCGACCTCGATCCCGCTCTGCAGGCCCTGCTTGCGTAGGGAGAGCTTCTTGAGCTCCTCGAGGCCGTAGCGATCGGCAGCGCAGTACACGGCAGTGTCACGGAGAAGAACGTCTCCCACGCCGGTGTGGAAAAATGTTGGCTCGACTGCGGCAGCGCGGTCGCCGGTTTTGTTGGGGTCGGGTGAGGCAATTGCACCTTCGAGCATCCAGGTCTGGCGCCGCTTGTCGTGGACAAGGCGGGGGTAGTAGTCTCCCTTGTACAGATACTCGAGGATGCAACTGAATATTTCAGGCTCTTCCGTAGGCAGATCGATGCGGCGGTTAGTTGACTCGAAGAACTGGCTCCGCAGCAGTTCAGCAAAGTACGGAGAATGACACAGTACATCTTCGTGGGCCGCGAACAGTCGCTGGTCGGAACCAACGATGACCGTCACAATGGCAGAGGTCAACTGCGGTGATCCTCCGTTCATCATAGGGCTGTCCTTGCGTGCATCCAGCTTCTCGGCCATGGCCTTTTGCTTGGAGGCATCGCGAAACGATCTCTTCGGCTGCTTGGTGATCTTGCCTGAACGGTCCTTGTCCTTTGAACTAGCCAAAGAACGCTTCCCGAACATGATGAAGCGAGCGACTGAAGCGAAGGGGGGGTTGTTTCTCGTAAAGAGTGGACAGGTTAGTGTGACGCAACGTTCATGTGAAGTTGGGAGCTCTGGAAACTCTCGAACTCGCAAACCTTTCGGGGGAGAAAAGTCAGTGAGGATTCGAAGAGCTTAAGCGTGTTTATCCACACTGGTGGTGAAGACAAAGCACACTTTAGTTGTCGAACTCGCTTGTCGTGAGGCGTAAGGGCCGAGATGGCGGGGAGGCCGACGATTAAATACTGCCGTCGCCAAGTGGCATCCCTGCAGCCTCGACGGCTAGCGTTGGGCTGTGTAGCATGCAGATGGATGTTTTTACTCGTCGATGGCGACGGCCGGCGGCACGACTGGATGCAGGTGGGAATCAGGCAGCAAGGCAACGTTGTGTGCAGCCTTTTGATTCGGTACTTTGTTCGGGTATAGCCTAATGTGGCTTATGCGTGGTGTTTGTTTGGTCCATGTACATACTTGGACACGAATGCAAAGGTGAGAAGTGTAAGCGAAACACCGACGATACGAGGGCCACGTGACAAGTTTCGCCAAGGCCAGGATCACACCGGGAGGAAGACATGATCGGCTGGGTGGGGTCCGATCTTGACAGACACGAGGCCGTGTTGGGCAATGGCTGTGAAGGATGCGCATCGCGTTCATGTCGCGGTGTAACGTGACACACGGATCAAGCCGTTGGTTGCAGTTGGGCGCTTCGCCTGCTGGGAGCCTTTGTGACTCATGTGACGACGAGTAAGTTTGTTAGGCGCAGCAGAGTGCGTGCAAGTCGGCAATGGAGACGAAGCACTTGGAAACGCGGGGGCATTGAGTTGCGCTTGTGCACAGCCGTGAGTCATTCCGCCATCGTGGAACATGTTGGGTGCCAGTTCTGTATGAGGTGCTGAGCATAACCGTCGAGTTGCATTGCAAACACCCGCTCTGCAATGCCATGCCGAGCTACTCTGCATCACGGCGGGCCAGTCTTATGCTGCCCTCACAACGGGCGCTTCGCTGTTGCCCGCTAACCGCTAAGCTGTTCCACTTGCATCTGGCGCGCCCAAGTGTCTTCAGCTGCAAAGACGCATGCATATAAACAACAGAGTCGCGAGCAAGCCGGGGTTGCGCCTGGAGGGCTCGCTTGTTCCAATGTAAGTATTAAATGAGGCGGCGTAGTAGTACCGATACGGGCTTGCTCCGAGTGTTTCCAATGACGTCGTTGGTTGCCAGTGCCACAATGCCCATGGCAGAGACAAGTTGCTCGCTCGCCTCTGTAGAGTAGTAGAGTAGGGACAATCGCGCAGACTGAAAACGACGAGCAAATGCTAGCGAGCACCTGCAGCCACCACCCAGTGAAAGCTGATGACCCTTCTGCCGGCCCGCATGCGGAGCTTTGACTAAGGATCCCAACCCAAAGTACCTCGTCATTCGTAGCCAACCTTCCCCACATCCATCTTTCTCTCTTCCACACTCAACACGCACGCATCCTGTGCCACTGCACACCGCTTGCGCTGTACATACATACATACCATCCCACCAAGCTTGTGCTCGTTCATTCATTCATTCATTTCGACTCGGCCACTTGTCTTGTCTTGTGCCATAGAAACACTCGTTGCTGCTCCGGAATACAGAGCCGGCAAGACCAGGCGTCGCAGCTTGCCATCGAACCCTAGTGCACGACTGACGGTCGACCAACGCACTGCCACCATGAGCACCGGAGCCAAGAAGCGCATCCTAAAGGCAAGCCTGTGATGGTCCTGTGTAGTGCCGCACAAGCCAGACGGCTAACAGCTGGGCAGGAGTACGGCGAATGCATGGCTGACACCCCGCCGGGCATGAAGATCAATTTTGACGAACAGAACATGACCAAATGGGAAGTGCTGATGGATGGTCCCGAGCAGTCTGCATATGCTGTATGTGTTTTTGCTGACAAGCAGCCTCCGTGCATACGGGAGCATGGCCCGCTGACGACTGTGTCTATGTAGGGCGGCCACTTCAAGCTCGAGATTACATTCCCAACCGAGTATCCGTTCAAGCCGCCCGTGGTCAGCTTCCGGACCAAGATCTACCATCCCAACGTCAGTAACGACGACAAGGGCTCCATGTGTTTGGGCCTGCTACGCGCGGACGAGTGGAAGCCACCAAACAAGGTGGTTTCTGTTCTGCGCCTGATCCAGACGCTGCTCATCGAGCCTAACCCAGACGATGCGATTGAGCCGTCGATTGCTAACGAGTACCGGGAGAACCGCCAGGAGTTCGACAAGAACGCAAAGGACTGGGTCAAGCGCTATGCCAAATGAGGGCCTCGGCCACGTGGGCAGGCGCATGGACAGGGAGAAGGGTGATTAGGAGGCAGTTTGGACAGGACGGCGGTCAACAGCTACACATTGATTGCATGGTTGGCGTTTGGCGAAATTTGCATGCGGATGGGTCGCTGGGTGGGCGGTGGGCAAAGAAGCATGGCGTGTACATGCAGATCGCCATGTCTCCAGCGCATCGACGTGCAAGCAGGACGGCTGGGCAGGGTAGCGTGTTTACCAAAGCAAAGTAAGGCAAATGAAATGAAGACAACGGCGGCATGTCGTCATGAGCAAAATGGCAAATCTCCCGTGGTAGCAAGGCAATGGCAGACGAAGCGAGCCGCGTGGGTGGTGAGAGGCCGGGGAGGCCCTGAAACGCGGCCTTCTAGAAGCGCGCGCGACAAGGCTGCTGCGGTTCGGTGCTTGCCTATCTTGGCCGTGCTTATGCCTGTGCGCGGTCCCAACTGTGATGTTTTCTGAATAATAGTCTGGTGTCTTGGTATGCTATTGGCGAGGCCAAGCAACCACCGTGTGCTGTCTGTGTTGTGATTGACTGCTTGATTGACCCAAGTATGTAGTACACAGTCCCCGTGCAGGGCAAAGCAGGGCAACGCAGGGTAGCCGGGGCACCCGAGGCCCAAGGCCATGGCCTCTGCGAAACGAAACGCTAAGAACGTGTGCGCGTCGGCTGCCATTTATTTATCCCACAGTCAGTGCTTGCAGTCGAGCCGCTGCCATGGCTGTGCGAGAGAGAGAGAGAGAGAGCAGTGGGATTGATGGATGGCGGTGCTCTGGCAGTGCCCTGGCGGTGCAGGTGGCTCTGCCAAAAAGAGGCGCATAAGCAGGCGGCCGCTGATTGGCCTGGCACGCGTCCCCCTTCGCTCCTCCTCTCTACTCCATCACATCACATCACATCGTGCTATCGCCATGGGCGTTGAGTAAGTGGTAGTGCAGCGGCCGTTCTCGTTGTCGTCGTCTCGTCCGCAGAGCTTATGCAGGACTCGCCCATTTGGGCCGTCACAGCCCAGGCAATGAACGCTCTCTCCGACGAGTTCCGTGGTGGCCCTTGAAACGCTCGACCCGCGGCGCGGCCCCCCTTAGTCGGGCTATAGGCATCGGGGATGAGGAGGCATGGCCGTCGCGTCTTGGCAGCCTGGAGAGAGTCAGTTGTCCAGCGTCCATCCAGGCCAAAGGAGTCTTTCCTGCTACACACTGGCCGCACTTCCGTCCTCACTACCGTCTGATTCCCCCGGTGCCTGTGCGCCACGACACGCTCCCTGTTCGGCTCCATTTCATCTGCCTACCCTACACCCTATCTACCTGCCGCACCCACGCTGAGACCCACCTGGGCCTTTCACTCATCCACCTGCACCACAGCTCCCACTCCGGACGCTGCGACACCCGGCGAACCCACTGTCCAAGCGACTACCACCGCCGCATGACACACGCCCACACGACACCTTCACTCCTCAACAACGCCCTGCCCTACCTCGACTGCCCGCTCCCCCCCAGAATGTCCTCCCGAACCTCCAGTCCCGAGCAGTCTTGTACCCCGTCCGAATGAGCGCCCTTGCCGCCCTCCTCCTCTATCACCGCATCTCCACCTCTGCTCCTCGCAATGGGTGACACCCTCTTGCGCGTCGCTCCTGGCGTCTCCCAAGCTGCCAGTGCTGGACGGGACTCTGACACGGCCATTCCACACCACCTATCCCATGTCCTCCACCATCGAGCCTCGCCAACCGACTACACTCCTCCTGCCTCACCACAACCCCAGATACCATATGCTTCCACAAAAGGTTTTGGCGCGCTCCGCTCAAAGCACCCAACCCAGCTCCAGATGCACGCGGTAGCCGCCCAGCCCTACGACCGTCCCGCCTACAGTCCAACGCCTGCCGACAGCCCGACCATTCCTTCGCCCAAATACTCTCTACGACAAAGAGCCCCTTCTCTCCTCCGCCATGCCGCCGTACCTTCTCCCCGCCATGCAAACCCACCTTCTTCTACCCCAATACCCATGTCCCCAACAGGCGCTTCGGTAATGTCACGTCAGGACAGCTCCCCTTGCTCGCCCGACCTTCGCACCATCTTCAATCCTTTGGCTAGCAATCCAGTCAACTCGAATGGCCCAACATGGAATTCATCCAACGAAGATCTGCCAGGCCCCCCAGCTGCGACATTCCGAGCCCGAGGAATGACTGGCCCCCAATCGTCTTTTCAGCCGCCGCCTTTTCAGCCTTCGCTGAGGGCCGCAACCTCCATACCAGATTACGCACAGCATCGTGCAAATGAGCGGGCAAATCTCTCAGGCACGTACAAACCCAACAGAGGCGTGCCCAACTGGTCTCACAACGATTACTATCCTCCCCCAGCTCGACCATTCCGAAACGAGGAGCCACGAGCTAGCTTTAGATCTGGATTCACAAATGCTTCATCTAGCCTAATGGAGACAAGCGGCACAGAACGAAGTAGCATCATTACTGCTCGTAGCTCTATTGCTAGCGACCTGCACAGTGGCATGTATTCAAGAGACCAGTCAAGAGATCGCAAACGGGATCGGGATGACTCTCCAGAAACAATGCTTACTTCAAACATTGCCGAGGAAGAAGAACAGCTAGACGCTGTCAGTGATGTGCTCGATTCGTACTACTACGATGAAGAGGATGATGACCGCAGCCCAATTGTCGAGCCACATGACGACCATTTTGGAAATCCTTCGCCCAGTGGCCTCGACTCTGAACCACCTGAGCTGTCTCAGACACCCTCCCGTGATTTCGACTCTCTCGACTCCTTTCAATCCAATGAAAGTCTCAAGCGATGGGATGAACGGCCCTACCCACGCGCAGAAGACTCAACAGAGAATCACACCGGGCAGAAAAAGCTGCTAACTATCCGTACGACGTCTGAGTCAGGCTCTGATCTCGATGTACACAACGCGAACGCCATAGAACCAAAAACGCTGCAAGTGGACCACATGCACAAGGGTCAAGCGAGCCCCTACCAGGCTCCGTATACACCACGGACCATCCAAGCAGTAGTGCAGCTTCCCAAAAAGAGATTGTCGGCCACGATGAAACGGTCCAGCGCAGATATGCCCCGTCGTGTCTCAGTCACCCTACAGGCTTTGTCACTCAGAACCACTGAAACTTCGAATTTGACAAGTGCCAAGAATGCCAAAGGACATCGTCATTCAAAGAGCGCTCACACAAGCCGCTCTCAGATGGATAACATTCGTCATGAAATATCTGGACTTCCTCAATTGCCCACTAACAGATCTCGACTCTCACGTCAAGATTGGGCAAGCATTGAAGCCTACTCGAAGCGACACAGTAAAAGACCCAGCCGCTCCCGTACCTTCTCACATGACTCGAGTGCTGGTGCTAATGGCCCGCAATCTCCGCCAGCGCAGCGATCACAGCCTCTCCCGGAACTTGACGAAGACGAGACAATCCCCCGTCGCGCTTCTACTAGTGTCTTCGATCGAAAGAGCGCACTGCTCGATCTGGGCAAGATGGCCCAGTTAGCTCCGGCTAAAAGTAAGCCAGAACCAGTCCAAGACTCTGACATGTCTTCTGGGCTCCCAATTCCCGTAGTTATGCCCGGCCTGCGCAAAACTACTATCCCTGTAGAAAGGGATCGTTATGGCTTCAAAAAGGCCTCTGAGAAGATTAGTGTCCAAGAGTACAATGCTTGGGCAGCAAGATACGAAGAGCACATTGCACGTCGACGTGGTAAATGGATTGCTTTGATGAACAAGCAAGGACTACCAACCGACGATCCGACAACATTCCCGGAAATGTGCGAGAAGGTCAAGAGATATGCACGCAAGGGTTATCCTCCTGAGTGGCGAGGCGCCATGTGGTGGTATTACTCTGGCGGTCAGCACATGATCACACAAAAAGAAAACGTTGGTCTCTACAAATCGCTTGTAGCCCGTTTACGACGAGATGAGCTCAACAAGGACGACAAAGATGCTATTGAACGCGACCTGGACAGAACTTTTCCCGACAATATTCATTTCCGACCCGAACCAGCGACTGATTTGCTAGACGGGGAGGACGATGACGAGCCTGCGCTGATTCAAGACCTTCGCGAGGTCTTGTCATGCTTCGCTCTGAACAACCCCAACATTGGATACTGCCAATCACTCAACTTCATCGCTGGTCTTCTGTTGCTCTTCCTCAAGCAAGACAAGGAAAAGGCCTTCATCCTCTTGACCATCATTACGCAAAATCATCTCCCAGGCGCACACGCTCGTAGCCTTGCGAATACCGAGGTCAACGTTCTCATGATGCTGATCAAGGATTACCTACCCAAGGTCTGGGCCTCGATCAATGATACTGATCTCATCAATACCGGCGCTGGTTCTTACGCTCACCCCAACTCCAAGTTCCAACGCCAACCTACTGTTGCTCTTTCGTGCACGTCTTGGTTCATGAGCATTTTCGTCGGTGTGCTTCCAATTGAAACCGTCCTTCGTGTGTGGGACGCTTTTCTATACGAGGGCCCACGCGCCCTGTACCGCTACGCCCTTGCTATTTTCAAGCTCGGCGAGCCAGAAATTAGAAAGTACCGTCCAGGCGATGGTGAAATCTTCATGGCCGTTCAAACACTGCCCAGGCGCTGTCTGGACCCGAACATTTTGCACGATCTGGCGTTCGTCAAGAAGGGTTTTGGCAATCTGTCACAACAAGTAATTGATCAGAAACGTATGTTCTGGCGTGAACAAAACATAACTGCCCATCAAAATTCTGTAAAGAACAGCAACGGCCGGCGCCATCATGGACACCAGGTGGAAGATGACGAGGATGGCGACAGAGATAGCCTCCGGAAGGCCATGGGCATGAACGTCCTGCGCCGTCGCGCATCCCGCAAGTTCCGCAAAATGGGTATGAAGTGAAGCAAGTCTTCCCCCCGTCCACTATTGCAGTAAAAAATTCGCTCCGTGGCAAGACCATGCAAAGAATTCCTTTCTTCAAAAACTTTTATGGCCCACACAACATTTTGCAGCGTTTTTTTCCTCCCTTGGTTCATGGACGTTGTCTTATTCTCGGCGCAACATCAAAAAGGGGACACACACACATACATATGGGTAAAAAATGGCTTTTCCTTTGAAGAAAGATGGCATTTGTTTACTTCTTTTCTGTTTCTCTTGTACCATAATTACGATATACCCTTTGCGTGGGCGCTCTCTCTCTCCCTTCCTCTCCTTTTACTTTTCTTCAACAATTTCTCCGGAAGGGGGGAGAATTGTAGAAGACCTTTTTTCCTTTCTCTCTCTTTCTTTCCTTCTCCAGTCTTTTAGATTCAAACCGGCGTGTGTGCGTGTATGTATGTGTGTGAGAGTTTTTCTGAATTCACAAAGCATAGCATTTTTCTTCTTCTAGCATAGCGAAAGACGTTTTGGTTTTGAGGAACTTTTTTGGGGAGGGGGGGTGAGGGGTGAGGGATATTTAACATGCAATTGTTTTTTTGCTTGGGTTAAATGATTAGGCGACGATGTTATGACACTCATCAAATATTTTAAATCGTACCTGCTTTTTTTTAAACATGTGAAAGATGTTTTTTTTTGATGAGTTGCTTTGACCTTGGTTGAGAAGAAAGAAAGGAAATATGAAAAAAGTTATAGCAACATGCATGAACCGCAACCTCCCTAGAAAAGAAAGAAAAAACGACAAATCCGTGTATGCACGTCGTTGTCGTTCTCTCTATTTTCTTCTTTGACAAACTCTTACGGAAACAGCACACTTCCCTTACCCTGGCTTCTCTTTTACAACCATATCACTCAGACTGTATCCCCCACAGTTTACCCTCCTCCCCCCCTCTTACAACTTACTCTCCCTCTTCCCCATCCCCTCCCTCTCCGTCCCCCCATCCATCCTCTTCTCCCCACCCTCAACCGTCAAACTCGCCGGATCCCCCAACATCGTCTTCTCAACCCTCCCTTCACGCTTTTTATTCCCCAGCGTGCCTCTAACCCGTCGACTATGCACTTCTTCTTCTTCTTCTTCTTCTTCCCCCTCTCCCTTTCCCTTCGCCTTCAACGCTGCATTCCCAGCGACATCACCAGTGGTACCAGCGGCACCCTGAGCGGAATCCCTAGCGGTACCCTCGGCGGCATCCACCGCACGATTTCCTACAGCCCTCTTATCCGACCCGCCTGCTGCGGTGCCGAGGGTGCGGTAGGGGGTGCTTGGTGTGGGGGCTGAGTCTGCAGGAGAAGCTGAGTCTACGGGAGAAGGAGAAGAGGCGGGGGTTTTCGAGGGAGATGGTGGTGGGGCCGAGTCGTGGAGTGGAAGCCGGATAGAGGCGTTTTCGGGGGTTAGACTTGTGGCGTCGCTGAGGCTTGGGGGAGGTTGGGAGGAGGATGGTGAGGAAGACGGAGAGGAGGAAGACGGGTGCGAGAGGGTGCCGCGGACAGAACGGGAGTGAGATGTGTTGACCATTTTTTAGGAAGTTTGCGCTGAGTGTGTTTTTGTGGGAAAGTGGTTTAGGCCCGGATTTTTTGGGGTTCCTAGGAGTTGTTCTTGACCTTTCTTGATCTTTGTATTTCCCAGGAACTTGTTTTGTTCCTTGTTCTCTTTTCTGATCGGAGAATTGGTATCAGATTTGTTTTGTGGTATTGGAGAGTTTCGGGTGAGATGGGGATTGAGAGAGTAGAAATCGACTGTTGGGACGTTGTTGCTGTTATGTGAGCAATGGAATCTGGGGAAAGATGGAGCCTATCACTTTAGGTTTACCTTGGCAACTACATCATCTACGTCTACATCTATAGCCTAAAGAGGGATCTAGTCGTCTGTGGCATACATTTCTTTGACGTAGTGATGTGAAAAGGCGCGGTATTGCAGTCTAGCGCATGGACATGACGTCTTGCATCCTCCGGGGAGCGTGGTAGTAATCACTCGGGAGTTCAAGAGCTGAATGTCCATCTCCCCTCTCCCTGCAGGACGAAAAACAATTCGAGCCTCAACGGGCGCTGCTACGCGAACATGGCTGGCGTTTCTTGTTGCGGTTGTTGTTTTTGCCCGATACCCGAAAGTCGAAGGGTGTTGCTGACTAGTTTTTTGTCATGTCGTTGCGGCTGACTGTGTTGAGCTTTGACAATTCCCCCACGTTTCACCTCGGCATCTTTGCTACCCCATGCTTCTAGCTTCGCGATCATGTCTAGAAGCTACACAACAATTGCTCTGCTTTCTGGTACGGTGAGATCGGCCGGAATCACTAAAGCTTTTCATGATGGATGAAATCACGCCGAGGATATCCTCGGTTTCTTGGGCTGCTGCCTTGATCAATGATCCGAATTGGAAGCTTATCAGCACTTTCTCGCGCAAACCGAAGCCCTCAGGAGAAGATGGTTTTTTCGGCAAAACGCTCAAAACAGATTCTACAATACGGACCTTTCTATCATTTCTACCAAGTCAAGAGACGGAGGGCGAGATGCCATTTCTAGAGACCAGGACAATTCTCGATCTAGGGTCAGATCTCGATGGATATCCTCAGACTGCGCATGGCGGGTTCCAGGCTGCACTAATGGACGAGCTCTGCGGCGTGATCGTCACCCAGAATAGAGATGCAAAGGTGGAGAAGGCGCAAAAGCTTGGACAAGCTGTCAAGGTCCCGGACTATTACACGGCTTGTTCGTTACCTTGGCTATGTTAGTTCCGCACATGAGCTAAACGTGAGCAGACTTAAACACGACCTACAAGAAGCCACTACCGACACCTGGACTGCTCTATTGCACTGCAAAGATCGAGCGGGTAGAAGGAGGCGACCGGAAGATCTTCATTCGCGCAACACTTGAAGACGGCAACGGTACGGTATATACGATCGGTGAGGGGTTATTTGTAAAACTTGCGGTAAAGCTATGAATGCCTCCAGACAGGTTACGCGAGTTGAATCCCATGTGTGTTGACATGACTTTGCTAGTGGTACCAACCTTGTTCTTACGTTATTGAATTCCCAGCAGTGCTCGACATATACCAGGTTGCCTCGTCTTGCTGCAACCACGAGGTCAACCAAAAGTTTGGATCGCTCTGGAAGGAGGTGCGCCTCTCGCGTGGAAATCTGTCATACAATTTACGTATCGGCGGATTCTTTGTGCAACCCGGCAGGATGCAGTTCGCCTTCTGACAAACGTCTAGGCGTGAAGTGACATTCAGCACTTGAACGAGCAATACCCACCTGCGCGACATCTTGCAGCGAGCGGAAAACACCGTGGACGTCATGAATCCACGACGACGACGGGGAGGCAAAGCACAAGTCCGGTGTGCGCGCCGTCGCCTTCTCCAGGTTAAGACAGAGCCGACCGACTTTGGCCGAGGTCACAAGTCTTTGAACCTGCCTGACCGCTTGAATCTTACATCAAATTCACTGTTGAACTTTGGTACAGTGTGGAGCCATTCGGTACATTTCCACCTGTGTTGGCTGTTGGCAGATCACCTGAAGTGGAGGGTTGGGTTGCAACACATGACTGAACGTGCTGGAGCCCACTTGAATTATCCTACCCTGACCCTGTGATCTGCTGTTCTTGCATGACCCTTAGCTTAGGCTCCGCTATGCAGGATCTGGGGTAGTCGGTGAGGCGCTTGCGGCATATCTGGGGAAATAGAAGAGGCGCTTGCAACGTTGCAATCTCCGGCGCACACGATACTGGGCACCTCTCGACCTCAGAACAGCAGCTGGCCCGATCTCTTAATCTAAGCAAAATCCTCGGAGATGATTCGATAGGGAAGCTGGTCGGAGAAATTGTATTTTTGATGTTCTCGTCCAATGTGCTGCAAGAGTTCACGCGCCTGGTTTAGCCGGGACTAGCACTCGGCTTTCAAGTGCCTTCGGCAGACATGCCTCTGAATAGGTAGGTCCAAGGAATGCACTCTTGTGGAGCCCGACCTTTGAGATTTGTGTCTTGCGACAGTCTCACACGACGCACCACCTCTGCCCCAGTTCAGACAGGCTCGGCACTGTAAAAAGGTGTACTAGAAACCGGTAGGCTAACTTGACCACGCGCTTGAGGCTTACGCTTCTGGAAGACATCATAGGGCGGCTTTGATGCACTGCGACGCATGGCCCTCCTACTAAGACTACTCCACATTGTGGCGCTGCGGCCGAGACGAACGGCGAACTTGGGAAATTGGACCCTCAAGAGGACCGGGCCAATGGCAAAAGCATGCCTACAGGTCTCGCAACGGCTAACGTACGTCACATGCTTTTGCTGGCGTTGCTTCATGACTAGAAGGCGCTGCACGGAACTAATATGTGTAGGGCCGACCCGGTGACCACTACATTTCTGGGCTAGCCGACAATCTTGCATTGTCTTCTACTACCTATACTATACCACCGGACTATCTACCAGCGATCTTCAGTACCGCTTTTGTAGCCTCATGTTTCGGAAATGTAGCTCTATGTGGATTAGACTGTGGTCTAGCCCAACATGAGCGATCACACTGGATATGGCATTGTCATAGGCCAAGTCACACTACCCGGCCCTCCAAGATATCCCCTACAAGGGTTTTCTTTTAGGGGAAGGTGATGGATAACCGCCTTACCCCAGATTATGCCACTTGAACTAGACGGTTCCAACCATACAGAAAGACACAAGACATGGAGCCACCCAAATGGCCGCATCTGTAGTCGCGCACCAAGAGTGCAAACCATCACTCCGTGTGACCTTTGAGCGGGAGCCAGTAGGGAATTCTGACCGGGTCCTGCCTGTTTGTGAGCTGCTCCGGGGAGTGTTCGTCCTCGATCCACCCGGTGTAGTGAACGTCGCGTTTACACAATGGTAAAACCGGGGCTACAAGGAGTGTGTACACAGCATATTTAAATAGAGAGCATCACCTGCATTTGAGACATTCCTATCTCTACTACGCTCGACATTTCCTTTTACAAGGTGTCTTTCGATTCACTTTGCTGCTCAATCGGAAATTTGCTGGCCTGAAGTTCACGAGCATGCGTTTTTCTTCTTTGCTCGCCTGCCTGGGTGCAGTCGGCATTCAAGCCGCTGCTATACGTATGAAGACGTCTTCTGCTTTGCGATTCCAGGTTACTAACACTTTGTAGCATTTGAGAGGCGTTTTGATAACACTACCGACTCCAGTGGAAGCCTTGATGCTGCTCAAGCTGCGGCTGCTATAGTAGATGGTTACTGGCTGAACGACCTGTCCGGCAAAGGCAGAGCCCCTTTTAACAGCAACCCAAACTACAAGGTCTTCCGAAATGTCAAGGATTATGGAGCGAAGGGTAAGTGACTTTCACATTGATGGTGATAAGGATATGACTGACCAGTTTGTAGGTGACGGTGTCACTGATGATTCTGATGCCTTCAACCGTGCCATCTCTGACGGCAGCCGTTGCGGCCCATGGGTGTGCGACTCGTCGACTGACAGCCCAGCTGTTGTTTACGTGCCTTCTGGAACCTATCTCATCAACAAGCCCATCATCTTCTACTACATGACAGCGCTCATCGGTAACCCCCGCGAACTTCCCGTCCTCAAGGCTGCATCTTCACTCCAAGCTCTTGCTCTGATCGACGGAAGCCCCTACAGCAACCAAAACGGTGATGCAGGCTGGATCTCGACCAACTTGTTCTTGCGCCAAATTCGCAACTTGATCATCGATGGCACTGCTGTTGCACCGACATCGGGTTTCCAGGCTATCCATTGGCCCGCCTCTCAAGCCACTACCATCCAAAATGTCAAGATCCGCATGACACAGGCGTCCAACTCTGTTCACGCTGGTATCTTTGTTGAGAATGGATCTGGTGGTCACATGGCCGACCTCGACATCACTGGTGGTCTGTACGGCATGAACATTGGCAATCAGCAGTTCACCATGCGTAACATCAAGATCTCCAAGGCTGTCGTTGGTATCTCACAAATCTGGAACTGGGGCTGGCTGTACTCTGGTCTCCAGATCAGCGACTGCGGCACTGCTTTCTCCATGGGTAACGGTGGCTCTGCTGGCAAACAGGAGGTTGGCTCCGCCGTCATCATCGACTCTGAGATCACCAACTGCCAAAAGTTTGTCGACTCGGCCTGGTCGCGGACCAGCAACCCTACCGGTTCCGGCCAGCTCGTCATTGAGAACATTAAGCTCACCAACGTTCCCGCCGCTGTTGTCAGCAACGGTGCCACTGTTCTTGCTGGCGGTTCCCTTACCATTCAAACCTGGGGACAGGGCAACAAGTACGCACCCAACGCATCTGGCCCATCCAAGTTCCAGGGCGCCATCAGCGGCGCCACTCGTCCTACTGGTCTCCTTCAGAACGGCAAGTTCTACTCCAAGTCGAAGCCACAGTACGAGACTCTCAGCACATCAAGCTTTATCAGTGCCCGCGGTGCAGGCGCAACCGGTGATGGTGTCACTGACGACACACGCGCCGTCCAGGCTGCTGTCACTCAGGCCGCATCTCAGAACAAGGTTCTCTTCTTCGAGCACGGTGTCTACAAGGTCACCAACACCATCTACGTCCCTCCCGGCTCCCGCATGGTCGGTGAGATCTTCTCCGCCATCATGGGCTCTGGCAGCACCTTCGGCGACCAAGCCAACCCGGTCCCCATCATCCAGATCGGCAAGCCCGGCGAGTCCGGCAGCATCGAGTGGTCCGACATGATTGTCCAGACCCAAGGCGCGACCCCAGGAGCCATCGTAATCCAGTACAACCTCAACACCGCCCTCGGCTCCGGTCTCTGGGACGTCCACACCCGTATCGGCGGCGCAAAGGGAACAAACCTACAAGTCGCCCAGTGCCCCGCCGTCCTCGGCCAAGTCAAGCCTGAATGCTTCTCCGCCCACACAAACGTGCACGTCACCAAGGGCGCAAACGGCGCATACTTTGAGAACAACTGGTTCTGGACCGCCGACCACGACCTCGACGACGCAGACTCGACCCGCATCAACATCTACACCGGCCGCGGCTTCCACGTCGAGGCTAACAATGTCTGGATCTGGGCCAACGGCGCAGAGCACCACACAATGTACCAGTACCAATTCAACGCTGCACAGAACATCTTCGCGGGCTACATTCAAACCGAGACCCCGTACTTCCAACCCACACCCATCGCGCCTCTCCCTTACGTTTCCTCTTCCAAATACTCTGATCCCGTATACTCTTCTTCGCAAACATCAGCATGGGGTCTACGCTTGCTAGACGCAAAGAACGTCCTCATCTACGGCGGCGGTCTCTACTCCTTCTTCCACAACTACGACGTTGGTTGCTCGTCTCCTACTGCGCCTAACGGCTTCCGCGACTGCCAGACCCGCATTCTCAGTATTGAGGGCTCGTCTAGCGTGCAGGCGTTTGGGTTCAGCGAGGTGGGCGTTGAGTGGATGGTTACGGCTGCGGGGCAGGATAAGGCGAACTGGAAGGATAATCTGAGTGTTTATCCTACTACCATTGGGTATTTGAGCTATGGATTTTAGACATCTGGATGAGAAGTGGATAGGGGGTTAGAGGTTTAGTATATATATATATGTTTCTCTCTTTCGCGGATAGGGAGATTGGAAACGGTACATAGATGATGGATATGAGACATGACGGCTTTCCTTCTTTGTTTGTAGTTATCATTTTTTTCCCTTCCTTTGGGCAAATATGGGGTTCAACCACTTTACAGTCGCTTTCTCTCCATTCGCATAGCTATAGCCTTTCTTGTTTGCAAACACTGGCAAAGAGAAAAAAAAAGCTTTCACGTTTGCTGTTTTATAGCAAGACAGTTGAACGGGAAAAAAGGGAGCTTTCTTGGTAGCGAAATACAATTGTTCATAACAAAAGAAAAGCGTGCTCCTAACTGGCTATATAAGTAGTTGCTATCAACGTTGTGTCCTTTGGGATGACCAAAAGCTAATTACCATCTCTGCCTTTTTCAACAAAAAAAGCATATCACGTGCACCCAAAACGCCCGAGAAGGGAAAAAACAACCAAAAGCTTGACAACGCAGGAACAAAAGCAAAGAACAGACAGAACCACGTCGTTATGTGCGACTTCCACATATACCAAAAAAGTAAAACAACGATCATAACGATGACGAATATCCTTTCATATATGACCAGAGAGATGCGAGTCGCGATGCCAGCATAAAGATTGGGCGCCCCTCCATATCTTTCTCTTTCCCGCATTTCCTGACGAGCGTGGAAACAAAAGGCATAGTTTCGAAGGATAAATAGGAAAAATAAAATAAAAGAAAAACATTGGAGCCGTTTGCCCTAGCATGACAACGACAACAACAGAAATAGCGAAAGAAAGTTGCGAGGACAGAGCGATTATTCAACGAAAAAGAAAAGAAAAGAGTGCGCAATCGAACGCCGGGAGTTCCCGAATATTCACAATCGCAATAACACAAGGCAAAAAAAAGAGAACGTAGTAGTCATTGTTGACAAGAAGTGTTATATGCATCACTGTAGACGCTTTCGCTTGCGTGCATCATCTGGGTCATCTTCATCGTCGCGTTCGGCGGTTTCAGCGGGATTGAGTAGTGAGTGCACGTTAGACGCCATACTGGATCGTCTTGTAGGTGGGCCAGGCGTGTCGATGCCCTTGAAGGGGTATCGAGCGCCCGGAAGTGTCCACCCGCTATCGGCACTAAGAGTAGATGGGACAGGGTCATTTGACCCAGGAGGAGTGCCATGTCTCGACGGTACTTGCCGTGGACCACGGGGTAGTTGGTAAGATTCTAAAGCGTCACGGAGTTGTTGATCTCCGCCTCCGACAGGGGGCCGGTGTGGTGACGAGGGCCACTGTGTAGAGTTGTGGCCGGATGCATAGGGCGAGTGAAGCGGAGCATTGGACTGCTGTTGCTGCTGCGGCTGCCAGCCATGAGTACGGATATCTGCAGAGGTGTGTCGCCTATAAAGGTTATAAGGTGGGGAAGAGCTGCTTGCTGCCAGATTGCTTCCCAATGTAGCACCAGATGCCGGCTGTTGGATAGCAGGCGGCGCTGGTGGAGGTGGAGGCGGGGGTGGGGGTGGCTGGTGCAAAACTGGGGTCCTGGCGGAAGATGGAGAGAAATTACCCGCGCCTATTGAGCCATACCGTCGCGGAGATATGGCGAGATGCGCCGGAACCGGGGGCTTGTATGGTGCTTGGCGTGAAACGCTCGCCAAGGAGCCTCGCCTTGATTCTGACATATTGTCTTGTGGCATCTGCCGAGGTGAAAGCGGTGGGCCGTTATTGCTATCGACTTGCATGAAGTAGGATTGCCGTGCGGAAAGGGGTTCCTCAGGTGCTTCCAGTGCGCGGAGCATGTCTGTCTGTCGACTAATTTCACGCTGCATCATGGCGACTGGAACAAGTCAGCACGAGTGTCGCGCAATTAAGGTTTAAGTGCAGATGCATACCGTCCCTATGGATAGGGTTTTCTGGGTCTGGCACCATGGCCATAATGTAATTTGCGAGATCGTGATTCCACTAATCGGGACATTAGCCATTGCAGATCCAGTCTAGACACATTTGACGTACCTGGTGACATCGCATCATGCCCTCTGCGAGAACTAAGCTCTTTTGATTGAGGTAATTGCAAGTTTCTTCTGAGCGCTGCATGCGCGTGTGCATGTCGTACAGGCTATGCTCCAGGTTCTGTAGGCGTGACTCGGTTGGGTCGGGCATTGGCTCGACTGGCTGGCCAGCGGGGGGACCCTGGGGCAGCTTTGGCGTGGAGAAGGAGTCACGATGGATGAGTGCGTGTCGCGAGGCACGTCGCTTGATTTCTCGCAGGCCGACCAAGTCGCCGCGCTTGAAGTTGCCATTTCCGTGCTTGAATTCCCATAACGGAGTGTCTGGGGATCCGGTGTGGAAAACGTCACTCACTGCAGTGACAGGGTTAGCATGTGATGGAACATAAAAGGGGGGACAGAAGCACTCCAACACGGACCTTTGTGAAAGCCATACATGTTTAATTGGCGAACAAATGACGAGATATTGGTATGCTTGAAATAGGACCTGGGGAAGGCGGGTTAGATTGAGTCGAAAAGGGCCTTAGCTCCCGGTGGACGTACGATAGGACTTTTGAGAATTCGCTCGAGGGCGACATGACGAAGCTTTCGTTTGTGCTGGCCCAGGAGATGAGATGCTGGATGCTCTGGTCTTCAAGCATGCTGCTGGCGGGTCAGTGTCGGGGCGCACATGGAAAGCATCAGGTGATATAGAGGGCGCACGCACTTGTACAGCTTGTGTATGAAGGCGGTTTGGACGACCTTTGGCTGCTGGGCAGCGGCAGCAGCGCCCACAGCCGGGGCAGCATTTCCATTGGGCGACGTATTGCCCGAGTCGGTGGCTCCTTCTCTTTGCGCATGGGATTGCGCCTGGGACTGGAAGGGGCCTTGGGGAGTGCGATCCGTGGCGGGCGGGCCGTTGATGGCTGGGGGGCCCATGGCGGACGAGGTTGAGGGCGTCACGTCCATGGGGTCTCTTGGGGGCGCGAGTGTCGAGGAGGACGAGGGCAGAATGGGTATGGACTTGTGGAGTTTGGGATTGCGTGCATCGGCGGAGAAGGGCGTGGAGCGGGCCTCGGCGACCGAAGCCATTGCTTGGAGGGAGTGGGGAGAGGGAGTCGAGCTTGCGCAGGGTGGTTGCGCGTGGGCTGGCGGCGGTGGTGTCGAGGTTGTTGCAATGTTGGTCGGGGTGAAACGGGTGGGATTGCAGATGGGCGACGAGGCAGCTCAGCAGCGTTTCGCACAGAGTCAGTGCGAGAGCGAGACTCGACGTAGAGGCAGATGCAAGCAACGCAGGGACCCGGGGCTGCAGTGCGGGCGGCGAGGATGCTCGGTGGGAGGCCGGGGGCGAGGGCAAGCACAAGCACTTGGGTCGAGTCGAGGCCTGGGGGGGGGGAGCGCAGGACAGGACAGGACTGTTCAGCCAGCGAGGGCGGTGCTAGTGCATGGGCGAGGCGGCGTGGAATTTTGGTTCCAGAAAGGTCGGCATGGCAGACGGCGGCTCCTTTGTCGATCGGGAGCGGCCGCCGCTGTTCTTAGCAGTCGGATGGGAATAGGAGATGGGGAGCGACCGAGCGCCGCGTCCAAGCGGCCTCGCCTACTGCTGAGCGACCTCTGCTACTGTGCGTGCATGCGCATGTGCTTCACGCGACGGAACGGGAGCGCTGCCGCAGAACTATGGCGGATCCCAAGGCTGATGCACTGAAACGCCGTCGACAATCTGGCGAAAACACCAGCCGTTTCCGGTGCGGGGTCGGCGATGGCTAAGTACTATGTGCGTACTGTGTATTATTATTATCTATCTAATACACGTAGTTATGCATTATGTCCTGTGTATGTATGTAGCATGTGATATGGATGGCTGCATGCATGCATGTATGCGTCTACCATGCAAGTACTACCACTATCGCTCTACTACACCTTCACCTACACCCACACACATACGCACTTACATGTGTGTAGTATGTAAGCATGTGTCCTGCACCTCTCCTTCCCTTCCTCCCTCCCACTCCCTCTCTCCCGGTCGCCACACCTGCTGTCTGACTCGCCATGGCTGCCCCGTGCTCCCTCCCTCCCCTGCCAAACGTCACCCGCCGAACCCTCGACTCCATCCCCCGCCCCCGTCAGCTCTCGACCAACCTTCCAATTGCCCCTCTTGACTAATCCGCCCATGGTCATCATGGCCGATTTCGTCCAAACCTTCACCCATTTCAATCACGCCCAGAGACAGCAGGCCCTGACCCTCTTGACGGCAGAGCTGACTCCCTACGAGTGGAGGTACCTCCATGCTCTGACCAACTCCCGCTCATTCCAGCTTGACATTATTGGCCGCCTGCCCATCGAGTTGGTCGCTCATATCTTCACTCACTTGGATCCCGCCGCCCCTTATCGCTTCCAAATAGTCTCAACCCGGTGGCGCTATATTCTTCAAAGCCTCCCTGTGCTCAAGGCCGGCCTCAATTCATGGTACCAGGGTGTGGCGAATCCCAGTGACTTCGAACATGACACTTTATGCCAGCGCGCAGCCAGGAGAATCCACCGCTTCCGTACCGGAAGACCACTCGGCATTTACAAGATAACGTCAGACGAACAGATAGCCTGTCCCAGCCTGCTTGGTGACTACCTTGTATGGCTGTCCGGGACCCCGCAGACATCACCAATGCGTGTTGCCTGTATATTCAATCTGCAAAATTGGGACCTTGGCCACGTAGCCGGAGAAGCACGTGAACAACTGATTAACCTGGTGCTTTCGGACCAAATCGTGGTGCTTGTCACTGCCGCCAACATGTGTTACGTCTACGAGCTGCCCACCCTCTCGCAGCGAAAGAAATTCAGGGTGCCTTCCGCAAGCTACCTGCAGAACGTGACTTGTCGTCGGAGTACCGTAGCCTGCCTTGCCTCGCTTGACATGCACATATCTGTCTTCATCTGGGACTACAATACACAGCGGGGAACATCGTTTACCATTAGCCATGACTCTGACATGTTTCTTAGTACGCACGGCCCGAGGTGAGTGCCATGGATTGCCTGCTACTACCACTACCTTTGCCAGACAGAAATACATATTGCGGCAGCCGGCTCAGGCGTTGTCCATGTAGCACAGCTACAAAATACAAGTGACCGCATGCACAGCTAACCAGTTCATAGAGGATTGCTACACATAGCACCTCTCGTACAACCCGAGAGCGAGACAATCATCCTCATGTTCGTCATGGACACGCCTACAGAAACACCAAATCAAACCTTGTTTGTATGTGCCAGATACACTTTTCGGGGCCATTGCGTTAGCTCTTTCTCTCCAAGTCTTCCAGAGCTCAGACCACTTTTGGTTTGGCACGGCGTAACGCCCTTTGTCCCAGTAGACGATTCAGGCAACGTCTTTGCGGCACGTGTGAACACAACGAATCCAAACTCTCAACCACCTAACGCTTCGATTGTCTCCCTACTCCTCAGATTCGATACAAAGACCAACGACTTGAGAGTATGGGAGGACCCGATACATCGCAGTAATAGCCCCCGCGGCATTAATGACTATCGAGCTTCTTGGTGGAAGGATACTTGGTATGGATTCCATCCGTCCGTGGAAACCAAAAATATCATCACCTTCATGGGTACACAGGATAAAGCAGCCTGCATACCAATCTCTTCAGACCCCTACAGCGAAGTCACAAATGTCAATATTCCCACAGAGCCTTTATTTGTCCATGAAAGGTATGTCGTCAGAGTTATGTCTGAAAATATATATCTGCTGTGCTTCCACGGAAGCTTTGTTCGACCAACAATGGGATGCACCTCTTTCATGAACGGAACGATTAGAGTCTTGAGTTAGTACGTTCGACGGACTCTGTGAACGCGACTAAGAGCATCATTCTTATACTATGAGATGGCCGCCCGAATATCTTTGCGGACGTCGTTGCCGTGGTGTGGAAGTCTTGGAGTGGTCACGTTACCATTTCTGTTAGCGACTACTGGCACTACTTCGCCACCATAGAAAACTAGAGTTAGACTATTACCAAGATTGCCCAGCAAAAGCAATGGGGGAGAATTTTAGACCTGTCACGCTACTACTAGTGTTGTTGTCCACTCTTAACAGTGTCTTGGAGTTTTTGTTTGGGTGGTGAAATGATCATACAAGCAATTGCCTGCATCAAACCCACTGTGGTCACCTGATTGGTTCCTGACATAGCGCGGGGCACAGGAAAACCCCACCCATTGAATTTCGGCCTTCGCCGCTCTAACCTTGCCTACCTAAGTAGGTAACTATTTTGACTGCTACCGCGGCTACAGACTTTTTTTTTCCTTTATTTTCTCGAGAATAATTTCCGCCGCTTGTCTACACTTTTCTCTTGACATTTTCATATCTAGTTACAAGACCAGAGGCAATTCGAACAATCCGCGACAATGGTTGAGAAGGTTTACGTCACGTACAACCAGGTAAGTGGCTGTTCATGTGCAACCATGCACCCCGCGCATGCCCACGCTCATGCGCTCCCCTTGTATACTTTTGGGCGGGCAAGAATAGTTCAAGAGTATTTGCTTCCGAGAGTCGCACAGTCTTTGTGCTCTTAACGAGCGCAGCATGCGCACAGGAAGACCTTGATCAACGTCTCCAGTCATATCATTGTGATACTGAGTCGGAGCGCAACACTCTTAGGTTCCAGGCTTCAGCCAGACACTGACATAGACTCTCCACAGGTTCACAAGCTCTGCCAAGAGGCAGCTGACAAGATCCTCAATGAGTTCCAGCCCAATCTCATGATCGCTATTGGCGGTGGAGGCTATGTCCCCGCGCGCATTCTGCGGTATGCGCTCACAGTCTGTTTGAACCTCATAGCACATGAACCTAACATCATCACCCCAGATCTTTCCTCAAGAAGCCTGATAGCCCCAACATTCCCATCCAAGCTATCGGTCTCTCCCTCTACGAGCAGCTTGGCTCAGGCCCTGACTCCGAAGTCGAAACCCCCGGCACAAAAGTAACACGCACACAATGGCTTGACCTGTCCTCACTCGAGATGGCCAACCTGATTGGCAAGAACGTCCTCATTGTCGATGAGGTAGACGACACCCGCACAACGCTCGAGTACGCTGTCAGGGAGCTGGAAAAGGACGTTGAGGCGGCCGTCAAGAAGCTGGGACGCGAGGGCGAGAAGACCAAATTCTCCATCTTTGTTCTACACAACAAGGACAAGGCGAAGAAGGGTCAACTGCCCCAAGAGATTCTCCAGGGCCGTTACATCGCCGCCAGGACTGTGGGCGATGTTTGGATCAACTACCCTTGGGAAGCTACGTACGTTTATATGCTGCATCTATAGATTGACATGTACAGACCACTGACATATGTTTGTAGCGACATTGACGAGCACGACCGCCACTCCAAGGAGGCAGAGTCCAAGTAATAGACGACGGAGCCATTCAGTGCACGCTTCAGCGAATAGATATACCCGGACTGACGCGGACGTAGGGGGTGGACATGGCAAGGAAAGAAAAAGCATAAATGATTTGGCATCGGGGCACTAACGTGCAGGGACATATATTGGAGTTGAAGGGAAACGGCGATATTTAAAGCCATTTAAGGACTAGCCTTATGAATGAGGTACGATTGAAGTTGGTAAAGAAGCAATCCAGCTTGTTAGATGACATGACAAGCGAAAGACAAGTCAACTTGTTTTTCCACACAGCATTCCTCGTTGATTAGTACAGGGTATCTTATCGATATTCTATGCTACATGCCCATCATCATCATACGTCTAAAACATGCCCATCATCTTTGGTCGACAAAAATTCATACAACATTCCCTCACTGACCCGCCTCAGCCCTCTGCGGTGCCCACCCCTTAAGCCAACTCCTCGCCCTATCCAAATCCCCGCCCTCAGCCTCAAGCGCCGCAACACACCACTCAAGCGCGTACCCGCCCTTCCCCTCAACCCCCCTCTCCGCCGCCATCATCTCCGCCAGACCCCTCCACCTCTGCGCGCGCTCATCAACACAAAAATGCAACGGCGTCTCGTACCCCCTCCCATCCATACCCTGCAAGAAAGGTTTAACAAGGGGGATAGCATCCTTGGTCGCCACCGACTGATCGCCTTGGCCCAGATTCTTGCGTCCAGAGCGACAATACTCGTTTCTGCACCATTCCTTTCCACAGCCCGTGAGGAGCTGGCTCAAGTAGCGCCGCTCGATACGGCGGCGTAGCGCTTTACCCTCTGGGTCATGCAGCGAGACGTACAAGGGACCAAAGCATGTACTGCATAGTCCAATGTCATTGCCTGGACCCTGTCCTTTGCGCGTCCCAGCACGCGTATCTCCATTTTTAGCTGCTCCATCCTGGGTTCGACCGCAGTTCACATTGCGGCAGAGCCGCGGCGGGGGCCGGGATAAGCGCTCGAGATCGTGGTGGCGGAGATGCGTGTCCATGTCTCTGAAGCGGATGATTTTGCCGCACAAGTGGCATTCTGTGGTTCGGCCTCCGTCGGCGAGTTCGTGGGGGGTTAGACCTGAGAGGAGGAGTTCAGGGGACTGGTCGCTTGGGTCGCCTTCTTGTGGGACTTGCAGGTGGCAGAAGCGGCAGAGGATGAGTTTGGCGGGGCATAGGGTTGTTTTGTGGTGGGCGAGGGTGGGGAGGGAAGGAAAAGGGAGGGAGCATGCGGTGCAGGTTTGCGGGGTGTGGTAGTATGCGGTGTGTTTTTGGTGGCTGAGGGGTGTGTTTCCCGTGAAAGTGTCGTGGGGGCAGTGCCAGTGGGTTTCGTATGCTTTGGATCGCTTTTGGAATACTTGGCCGCAGCCTTGGGGGCAGAGGATGTTGTTTCGGAGGCAAAAGTTTTCGTGGAGGAAGAGGGAGCTTTTGGGGACGATTTGCTTGCAGTTTTTGCAGATTACTTCGTCTTCTCTTACTTCATGTGAGTCTCCAGTCTTGCCTTCGGCTTCGGCCTTTGGATCGAATATCGAGACCCTCAGGTGGAAGGACTTTGGTGTTGTGGAGGGTGATGCGGATGGATATGCGTGCACTGAGATCCATATTGCTTCTGCTTCTTCAAGCTCGATGTTCGTAGGTTGTAAACGTATGCGTTTGGGATATTGACTAGACATATCTGCAAAGACGTGCTCCTCTTCCCGAGGACGAACTCTCTGGCGTGAAGAGAACGGACTAACGAAAAGATCAATTTCGTCTTCGCCGTCAACCTCATCTAAGAAGATCTCCAACCCTTGAGATCGGTCCCAAGATGCTAGTTCAAAGTCAACATACTCGCCTTCAAGTATCTGCCCAGATTGTGCATTGAATATATCGATGGTGCCACCGGTTGAACTGCCTTGTTCGGTGCCAGGCGCACGGTGCCTCTTAGCTGCTATCCTTTTCAGGGTTTCGCGTGCCTGCTCTTCGTTCAGAGGCTCAATATCAACCTCCAAATCCGTATCTACGACGCATATTCCCTCTCCCTCAGGCTTGAAGCCGTCAATCAAGAAGCGGAACTCCTCGCGCTTGCCGCCGACTCCTCGACCGCCATGCACGATTAGAATCTCACCATTTGTCAGCGTTGTATAGTTCGATCGTAGGTGTTCTTCGAGTAGCGACTTCCAGTCCTCGGGGTCGTAGCCTGCTTCTAAAGGCCGCAGCTTCACAAAGGCGCCCTTAGGTAGCTGCTTGGCATGTACGGTAATTTTGATAGTGGCGTCGCTATTGCCGCTGCCAAGTGGCTTGTTTACTCCGTTTTCCGTGGTATGGTCTCCATCTTTGTCACTGTCTGGGCTCGCATCTCTCGAGGGCTCTGCAGATCGCTCTTGGATGCCCAAGGCCTCCTTCAAAAAGCTGCTCAGCACAATCTCGCCCTCTTCCGCCGAAAACTCGCGAATACCTGCGTGTACGGCTCGGCCATTGTCCGGATTTACCAGACGAAAGGTAAGCGGGTGGGGTAGTTGCTGAAATCGGTCCTGCGCTTGCGCCCGCGCATATCGCTCAGCGTTGAAGGTATATGGATTGAAGGGATCGAAAGCAGTCAAGTGGGGCTGGTTCGCGTCGACATGGACTACGGGTGCTGCAGCAAGCAGCTGTTCTAGCGCTGAAGGCGGCAGGAGGAGTTTGTCGCCAGGAAGCGCATTTCGGGTTGCACTAGCGAGGTTGTACTGGCCGGACCATTTGAGCTCTGCTGCAGCGGGGTCTGCCTCGGGGTTCATGACGGAGGGGGTATTGCAAAGAGAAAAAAAAGAGACGATGACAACAACCAGCAAGGACTCTGCCAACACAAGACTACATGAGGCGGTGGCACCAAGTCTAGTAGTTCTGTCAGTCACCGACGGCTGACATATGCGGCTCTGCTCGAAGCTTCGGTGATGGGTGGCGTCATAGCTTACCTTTGCTAGTAGAACCAGTAGAGTAACTCCGAACCGCGATGCTTATCGATAAGACGGAGACGCGCGTGGGAGACGCGTGCAGCAGCGTGGGAGGTTCCGGTGAATGGCGGGGAAGGACTCGTTTCAACTGCACATTTGGGCCCATCTATCTTGGGCCTTCAGTCTTTAGGCGTGCATTAGCCGCGAGGGGCCATGCAATATTGCCGGTCACTACTCCATGTACCTCCATGTTTCGATATGGCGATTCATTGCCGTAACTGGCCAAGGCGGGGCAGATAGCCCGTCTGGCAGTGTCACGGCGCCCGCTTGCGATGCCGCAGCAGCGGCTTGCTAATGTTTCCGGTGTCAAACACCTAAGCCTTTGGACACGGCCTTGGCTGCAAAATGTGTTCCAAGGCATGCTTCATCGCCGCCTGATCTTGCAGACATCTGCGAATTGCTGGCTGTTCCCCTCTTGGCAGGGTCTTGTATTTGCGATCGCCACAGGGGCCGCGCACCCCACGTCCGGCGCAACCCCAACCAACCTCTGCAGCGTCTCAACGTCCATTAGTCGATCCTCTTGCTCATCCCGAGTGCGAGCACCCTCCCGCAGTGTCAGATCAAGGCACGTGCCCCCAGTCTGGGCAACCTTCTTCGCTGTCATAAAGATTCGGTGAGTACCCGTCTAATCCGGCTGGCCAGCTTCTCTCCCTGTCCTTCCTTGACCTTCCGCCATGGGCCCTGTTACATTCACCCACGACCTTCCTACCTCCCTGGCGGACCTTCTCTCTAATACCTTAATTATACGTCAAACTGCCCCATATCTCCCTGTCTCTGCTCTCCGTAATCTGTCCCGAACCTCAAAGTCCCTCCACCATGCTATCATCCATTCCCCAGAGGCTTTCCGCTACCTTGATCTCTCAACCGTAAAGTCTGCCATTGTACCCTCTGACGGCCCTCTGGATGTCGGCGGCGTCAATTTCCGTGCCCAACGCATGGACGAAGCCCTCACTGAAGACGACTTCTACAGCGGTCCTCTACGACACATCTTCAACAGACTCGAAAAGATCCACGTCCTCCAGAATGTCCACACTTTGGTGCTAGACGGGCTCAGCGTAACAGCAGAGCTTGTCAAAGACCTGCTCACAGAAGAGAGATTCAATGTGCGCCTGCTCTCTATTCGTGAAGTGAAGAACTTGAACGAGCGCAAGCTTCAACAATACCTGCGATATGCTGTACGTCCGTCAAGGCCCGAGGGCACGCCTCGAGTCAAGGGCATCTATCTCTTTGGATCCCGCGACCCTCCTCCGCGTCCTGCATTGCTTCCGACAAAGAGGCAACCATCGCCCGTGCCGAGAGGGGTCATGTCGTCAAGAGGAGCGCAGATTGGAGCACAGTGGAACGAGAAATCACAGCAAGCATTGGACGTTGCGCTGTCACGGACAGAAGACAAATGGTACAAGTCATCCGGAAAGATTATATCGAAGCGTCCCTCTCCGGAATGGGCAGAGATAGTCCAGGAGTGTGCCGGCATTATTGCTTTCGATGCTGTTCTTTGTAGAGGTCCCCGACACGACCCAAGCAAAGCGTACATTAGGGACCCTTCAGTTGCGGGAGCTCATCATCCAGCAGCTTTCCTCCGGCCTTCGATTGCCACTGTTGCCCTGGGACCATCTGGCTGTGAGACATGCCATTCCTCCCCCGAAGGACCAGCCGTGTTCGGTAGCTCCAGCCCGGCTCATCATCCACTACTAAGTCCTGTTCCGCTACATGGCAGCACTGTCCGTGCTGCTCAGATACCACATACTCTTGACGGAACCACCCCTCCGCCTCTCATAGTACGATGCGAAGACTGTCTCAGAGGCCGCTGGTGCGAGAGGTGTCACAAGTGGTGGGATGAAGATTGTTACATGGTTCCTGCTACCGCCCAACGTACGGAATTGCAGCAAACTGAGATAGTAGAGAACCTCCAATCCGATGGGACCACTCGCATGCTCCCAAAGCAAAAGACCAAGGTATTTATGGACCTCTGTGTGGAAGAGTGCTTGCCTTCAGAAATGATGGCTGGTGCTGGCAGCAACGGGATGTGGGGGTGAAGAACCCTACCTTGGCGCGCGGGGAGCGAGATTACCTTGAGGCCGTTACGAAGTAGCTGGATTCCGGAACCTAGTCTTCTCTAGATTAGCCGTGGAGCCTGGTTATTGGATAACTGCAACCTGGAAATCGCCACTTGCGCGTCGAGGTATGTGCTCCATCTATAGGCAAGAAATA